GGCGCCAAGCTCGTCGTCACCCAATCTGCCTACATCGACAGACTCCCCAAGATCGACGATCTAATCGTCATCACCATCGACGATCCTATGCCAGGCTGCATGTTCGGCGCCAAGCTCGTCGTCACCCAATCTGCCTACATCGACAGACTCCCCAAGATCGACGATCTAATCGTCATCACCATCGACGATCCTATGCCAGGCTGCATGTTCTTCGGGGAGATAAACTCTGCCGACGAGAACGATGTCCCTGATGTCAGCATCGACCCTGACGATGCAGTTGCGATGCCGTTCTCGTCGGGGACCACGGGGCTGCCGAAGGGGGTCGTACTGACCCACCCGGAGCATTTGTGTCAAGCCTGGCCTCAGCAGGTCGACGGGGAGAACCCGAACCTATGGATGAGGGCGGGGGAGGACGTGATGCTGTGCGTGCTGCCGATGTTCCACATATTCCGCGCTGAACTCGGTGCTGCTGTGCGGGATGAGGGGGGGGCGCGGTGTGATAATGCGAGGTTCGAGATGGAGAGGATGCTGGAGGCGATAGAGAGGTGAGGGTGACGGTGGCGGCGGTTGGTGCCGCCGCTGGTGATAGCGCTGGCAAAGAGTCCGGCCGGCTGAGAGGTACGATTCTCGGTCGGTGGAGTGGTGGTCTTTCGCGGGGCGCGCCGCTCGGGAAGGACATGGAGGCGGCGCTCCAGGGGAGGGTGCCGCAGGCGGTTCTTGGACAGGTGAGTTTGCGTGCGCTGGGTGTGCTTATTTTTTTTTTTTTTTGGAGGGCGGGGTCATGATTGTTCATTACTTGTGGAGTACTCTGCTATTGGTGGCGTGTTTCGTGCTTAAGGGTCTGTTTACATCGGGGTTAATGAGAGGTAGAGGGGACTCACTAATCTTGCTTGGAAACTCATTTGTGAAAGATAATGAGAGCCAAGGTATAGTAACTTTGGTGAGAAAATTTGAGATTTTGTTTCCCCACCAACAAGAAGTTAAAAGAAAACTATTACACAAAGACAATTTTATCATATATTCTATCAAAAAATAATATTACACATGTAAATGTCAAGTTATATTATTCCGTTCCCTTCCCTTCAATTCACTTTATTAACTTTGCAAACATGGTGAAATGAGTTTCCCTCAGGTTTCTCTTACTAAATATTCAAATAAAAGGTTTGTATGTTACCCTAATTGTTCTTAATTTATCATATGTTTACTTAACTTTTCTTTCACCGGGGCCAAATCCAAATGGATCCTAAGATTGTTAGAATTGAAACATAAAAATTGACATAAAAGTTGGTAAGGATTTAAATAAGAAAAATTTAAAAGAAAGGGTTAGGATAATAATCTATTTATACATGAGTATGTGACATATATTTAGTATAATCTGTTCCATATGTATTAGTGGGCTCATCTATCTTCATGTCCCTTTGTAACCACAACCATTTAAACTAGGAAATATAAAGGCTAAATGGCACTTAAAAACTCTATTGTCTTACCACATTTATACCTAAATATTCAAAGTTATAAAAATAATATTTTAATATTTTAAGTTGTAAGAAAATTGACATGATAGTTCCTTATGTTAGTTGTCATGGGAATATACCTAGAAATACGTCATGACAACTAACAGAATATATTGAAGTACTAATTTCTTATAACTTAGGGTATTAAAATGTCACTTCTTTAAAACTTAGGGTATTAGTGTCATTATTTTCAACTTAGAATATTAAAGTACTACTTTTATAACTTAAGGTATTTAAATGTAAAGACGATGAAATGATAATATGATGTAAAGTGTTGTTTAGCCAAATATAAAATTAGTCAATTTGCCAGCTAGTATTTGTTTTACTAGTCGAACATTATTTAATGGAGCATGTGATGCACGGTCCAGCACAAATCAGGGCTCTAAATCCACCCCTTCTGTAGCAAAAAAATAAAAAAATAAAATAAAAAGGAGGAATAGTCATGCGTACGGCATGATTCGTGTGTTCACGAGCGGATGCTTTTGGACCTCCAAGTTTCTTGCTTTTCCTTTCCTCGTATCCAAATTTCTTGAGGGTCGACTCATCAACCTGGCAGTAGTTTATAAGACCATCTCCAACCCATTGCATCAAAATGGTGCAAATTTTACATCAAAATAGTACAAAGATCACATCAAACAGTAATACATCTCCAACCCATTGCATCATTTTTTGCACCAAAAAAGAATATTCTCAGTATATTCTCACTTTATTCTCTTTTATCTATTTTTATATTAATTGAGAGGTAAAAACAAATATTTAAAAAAATGAACAGTAATGGGGCGGATGAACAGTGCGACACCATATTTGGTGCAGCACTGTTCATTTGCACCAAAATGGAGCAGAAAATGGGGCTGGATTGGAGAAGGAACAATGCAACAAAAAGCACTGTTTGCACCAAAATGGGGCTGGGTTGGAGATGCCCTAAGGGCTCAGTTTTGCATTCTCGAGTGGGTCACGATTGATCCTGAACCGAGTTCTGAGGACAAAGATCGAACTAGTTCTTTTTCTTTTCTTTTTTTTCCTTTTTCAATCCAAGGGGCAACTAGATCAAAAAGGAATCAGCTTTAATGTTATATTTCAATCCTGCAATTTTTTTTGGAGAAGTGATAAGTTTTCCCAAACAGAATTCTACCCAATATGGAACCAGGGCCAACCCCTTATCCTATTTTAGAAGTTTGCCGAACAGAGAGTTTACTTCTATTAAAACCTCCTGCATGCAAGGGAGCTGTTCCGTGTCCGAACGGAGACAAAATTGTCTCCTATTATAAGGCTCAGAACCGGCCATCGCATATGCATGCGATCCTGATATAACAAGTGTTGGGCAACGTTTTTAACTTATTTGCAATTTGACATTAATCATTAGTGGAAGAGAGGAGACAGGGCACGTCAGCAAATAAATGCGGAGAGGACCCCCGTGAGCTTATTATTAATATTTTCACAGCCTTTAATCGTTACAAACGTAGTGGGTTGACGTTAATGAGTCAGTCTTGTAAGTTGGTGTCGACGACAAAATTGATGTCGGGGTCGGTCGACTCAATTAGAACGGTGAGTACGTAATGAGTACAAATTCTATCATCACCTCCCTCTCAGTTTGGGGATTTCGACGAGTCAAGATCTGCTCTTACGTAGATTGTTCTGATTCAATCCGTATTTGCATTTTAATATACCGTTGTTACTAGACTTGGATAAAATATAGGAATTAATGAACTTAAAATACAGAGTTGTCTTAAGAATTGAACGAACTACAACAATTCAATTAGATTAAAATTGATGTCTTTTTACGGAAAGATATTTTATGACATTTTGCGATTTCTTCCAAACTTTTTACCTTTTTTATCAAATCAGCTATATCTCAAATAAGTATAATAGAATAACACTTTTTACGGAAAGATATTAATGGGCTGCAGAGATATGCGTTTACAATATATCAAATAATTATATATATTCACATCACTTATCGGATTCATAAACAAGAAAGCAATTAATCATATTATAGCCAGGGGTGAGTGACGACGATTTGTCCGATCCGCCTCCTCTCTACGATATTTTCGTTTGCAATTCTTCTTATTTTAAAACATGACAGTGTTGAGTTCTCTCTTTTGGCATCTCCTCTTATGTAAATACTTTAAAATAAATAAATAAATAAGCATTTTTAGGTAATTTCACCGACATTTAATAAAGACTAATTCAGTTGTCTCTTCATTAGTCGGCCAATTTCCATGTCCACGCCACAAAGTAAAATGTTAACGGCACTCCAAGCGTGGTGATATTTTTTTGTATAGCGAACATGCGGACAATTACACAAAAATACGGGAGCCTGTAAAAACTTGTTAACTCCACATTGCAATTGAAGGACGAGGGATTTCATGCGAGTTATAGTACGAGAATAGTGGATTCAGATCCTCTTCACTATCTAAAAAGTAGTAGATGGACCATTACATAATCACAAACATTAATTATCTAGTTGGTGGTTGTGATTTTTTCTTTTAGTGCAAATTAATTAGGAATGAGTGCAATACACGGGGGTATGATAAGTGCTAAATTTAGATTGTATCATAACCGCCTATTAAGTAATTGAGATTAAAATTAGTGGTCTCTGTGAAAACGGCGAAGGAATTGTGAAAAACGTGAAGAATAACCCAAAACAGACTCCACCACACCCTGGTGTGGTGTCTGCCATGGGTGTGGTAGAATCTGTCCTGCACCACACCCTCTGTCACACCCACGGTGCAGGGTGTGGCAGAATCTGTCCTGCACCACACCCTCTGCCACACCCATGGTGCAGGGTGTGGCAGACTCGTTTTTAGAATCCCAATCAGTTTGGGATTGTGTTTTGCTATAAATAGAGACACGTTTTTTAGGGTTTCATAGGCTTGGTTTAGGCTTTGATTAAGCATTGATTGGGGGCTATTTGGAGCACAAAAAGAGGTATTTTTGAGCTATTTGTTTAGGGTTTTATTTGGAGAGATTAAGAGTTTTGTTGGTGAGATTAGTTTGTTCCTTCGAGTGATTTGTAATCTCAGTTTGTACTCTTTCTCTATTAGTGAAAACCCCATCCCCCCTTGCCCCGTGGACGTAGGCAACTTGCCGAACCACGTTAAAATTGGTATTTTATTTGTGCATTGATATTTGGTTCGTTTGGCTCTCTTGGATTGTCGTTTGGTTTGGTTCCTCGACACAGCTTCAGGCACAACAAGTGGTATCAGAGCTCGGGCAACGCTTGGGCTATTGGAGGAGTCGTAGATCGCTTTGGAAGTTCAATCTACGGGCTTCGTTTGGGATAAGGTGGCGACTTTTTAGTAAAAATCTCGTTCTTTTCAGTTTCGGACTTCTATTCTCGTTTGTTTCCGCATTTGGTTTGGTGTGTTTTGAGGATTATGCCCGAGAAAGAAGGAGTTGTGGGCTAGTACTTCGGGTGAACGACCGTCCAAGCTTGAATATCACCCTCGATGAAGATTGAACGTGGAAAGTTCAATGGCACAAACAGTTTTGGACGCTTTGGCGAGCGAAAGTCTGATGCGCTTAGACGCGCAAATTTAGAGATACATTGGAATTGCATGGAGAAACCCGGACAACATTGATGAGGCGCAGGTTTGGAACAAGATGAATAGACGGCCGTGTGGTGTGATTAGGTCTTGTCTCACTCAGATCTAAAGGTATGATGTGCATCAATGACGACTTTGCAAAGTCATACCGATTTGGGGAGATCCTTGAGGAGATAAGTATTTAAACCAAGAGTGCTTAGAGAATCGCTTGCATTTTGTGTAAGAGGACGGCTAATTACGCTTCCAGTTTGAAGAACGAACCTGCCATTGGTGATACATGACCACTAACAACTCAAAGCGTTCTTGCGGATTTGTAACGATTCACGCTGTGACGCGTGATGAAGATGAGGACAAGACGTTTGTTCGTTGTGACAGCTCCCTTTTCCTGACGAGCGGGAATTATGAGAACCTTTCGCTTCTTACTCTTTATTTAATGGGAAGGCATCTCTTTCGTATAGTGAGGTCACCGCTGCACTTGTGAATTATCAGC